TCTATATACTGAAACTATAGAAAGCTTATGAAAGAAATTGAAGAAGACACACAAAAAAAATAGAAAAATATTTCATGCTCATGGATAGGAAGAACAAATATCATTAAAATGTCAATACTACCCAAAGCAATCTACATATTCAATTCAATCCTTATCAAAATAACACCAGCATTCTTCACAGAGCTAGAACAAACAATCCTAAAATTTGAATGGAACCAGAAAAGACACCTGAATAGCCAAAGCAATCCTGAAAAAGAAAACCAAAGCTGGAGCATTACAATTCTGGACTTCAAGCTGTATTACAAAGCTATAACCATCAAGACAGTATAGTATTTGTGCAAAAACAGACATATAGATCAATGGAACCCAGAAATGGACCCACAAATGTATGGCCAACTAATTTTTGACAAAGCAGGGAGGAATATCTAATGGAATAGTCTTTTAAATAATGGTGCTGGGACAAATGGGTAGCCACCTGCAAAACAACAAGATTTTCTGTCTTCTTTATACCACGCACAAAAATTAACTTGAAATGGATTATAGACCAAACTGTAGTAACTAAAATTATAAACCTCTTAGAAAACACTTAGGAAACCTTTGTGACCTTGAATTAGGCTATAATTTATTAGATATTACCAAAAGCACAAGTGATTAAAATATAGGTAAATTGGACTATATCAATTTTAAAACTTTGGTTCTGAAAACAATACTATTGAGGAGGTGAAAGAAAAATAACAAGTGGGAGAAAATATTTGCAAATCATTTGTATGATAAAGGATTTGTACTGAGTATATTTCAGAAAACATTTTACAACTCAATAAAAAGATAAATGAATGAAATGATGGGTGTTATGGACCACATGTTTGTGTCCTTCTAAAATTTGTATGTTGACACATAACCCCCAGTGTGATGTTGTATGGAGGTGGGGTTTTGAGGAGGTGATTGGGTCATGAGAGGGGACCCTTCATGAACAGGATTAGTGCCTTTATAAAAGAGTCCCCAGGGCACTCTTTGCCCCTTCCACTATGTGAGGACACAGTGAAAAGATGGCTGTCTGTGAACCAGGGAGTGGGTCTCACCAGACACTGAATCTGTTGCCACCCTGATCTTGGATATCCCAGCTTCCAGAACTTGAAAAATGAATGTTATATAAGCTGCTTGGTCTGTGGTATTCTTATTACGGTAGCCTGAATAGACTAAGACAACTGCAAATTATTTGGGCAGGAATTTCTCTAAACTATATTTACAAATGGCTAATAAGCACATGAAATGATGCTTAACATCAATAATCATTAGGAAAATTCAAATAAAAAACAACTTCTCACCCACTAATATGTCAAAAGGCAAACAACTGTTGGCAAAGATGTGGAGAAACTGACACCCCCACACATTGCTGGTGGGAATGTCAAATGGTGCAGCTACTCTGGAAAATAGTTTGGTAGTTTCTCAAAATTATAAACAGAGTTACCATGAGATCCAGCAATTTCATTTGTAGGTATAATTTCAAGAGAAATGAAAATATATGCACACACACACACACACACACATACACACAACTCGTATGTGAATATTTATAGCAGCATTATTCATAATAGCCCAAAAGTGGAAGCAGCCCAAATGGCCATCAAGGAAGAATGGCTCAGCACAACACGGTACATCCATACAATGGGATATTATTTGACAATAAAGAAGCCAGTCACAAAAGATTATATACTGCATGATTTCATTTATATAAAAGGTATGGAATAAGTAAATCTAAAGAGACCATAGTTTTGTGGTTACCAGGATATGGATGGTAAAGTAATAGAGAGTGATACTTTATTTATTATTTTATTTTATTTTATTTTATTTTATTTTATTTTATTTTATTATTATTTTTAATTTAGAGAGAGAGAGAGTGAGTCAGGAAGCAAGGCTCTAGAGGGAGAGAGAATCTTAAGCAGGTTCCACCTTCAGCACGGAGCTCGAGGAGGAGTTTGATCCCACGACACTGGGGGTTTCACCAGAGCTGAAACCAAGAGTCAGACACTCAACCGATTAAGCCACCCAGATGCCCTGATAGAGCATGATTATTAATGCAATCGCTTTTTTGTGGTAGTAAATAATCTAAAATATATAGTGGTAATGGTTGAATCGCTTTGTGATTATACTAAAAATTTGTAAATTGTGTGAGTTCAATGAGTGAATTATACCATGTGTTAACTTTAAATAAATAAATGTGTGTGTATATATATATATACACATACATATATGTATTATTCATTTAATTATTTAAAATTTATTTATTTGGAGATAGAGAGACAGACAGAGAGAGAGAAAGAGAGCACGCACGAATGGGGGAAGGGCAGAGAGACAGGGAGAGAGAGAATACCAAGCATGGTGAGCCAAGATCAAGAATTGGATGCTGAACCAACTGAGCCACCCAGGCACTCCTTTGTTAACTATATTTTAATACCTATTTTTAAAGATGCTCTCCAGGAGACAAGAAAAAGGATGTGTTTGTGTCAGGACAAGAGAAACAAGGAGAGTGTCCGTGCTGAATATACAGAGGGTAAAGTTTAACCTTATGTCTAAAGAGAAGTCTTAGGAGGTAACAGAAATAATTAAGGATTTGAAGCACAATTGTTCAGTTGTTTGCTCTGTAGTTAGTGAGAGGAATTTTCTCCTCATCTTCCCTAGTCAATTTTCAGTAAAATCTTCCTTTCTCACTGCCAGATTTTTTTTTCTTTTTGAGGTACTTGTAACATTATTCAGTCTCACTTTAAAGTTTGTGTGGCACAAAAATATTATCTATCCACCAAGGAAAGCCAAGCTGTTAAGAAAAGAGTGAGAGAGAAGAGAAAACACACAGGGCTGTCTGGCAATGACTCTAAGTACTCAGGATGATACTGAACCACTATCAAAAAACTGCAACAAATGTAGATTATATTCATTAGCTTATTTGAATTTCCAAATGACCTCAAGTAGTTTATCTTCTTCACAAGAACGCGAGGAAGGCGGTTGCCCCATTTGGGTCCAGAAGTAGCTGAGTTTTAGAAAGTTGGAGACTCACCCTGATCCCACAGATGGCAAGCAGTGTCACAGAGACGGAACGTAGGTGCATATGTTTTGGCTGTCAGTGCCTCCCTAATTCTCAGACTCCAAAGCATTTTTCTGCAATTACAGGTTTTGCATGGCTCGATTATCTCCTGAGTAGAGGGATAGCATTTTATGCGTCTTAGTTATGCCTGGCTTCTTTTACTCATAGTAGGCGAGGCATTCAAGTATTATCTTGAATGAATGATCACAGAAGATTAGAAGTTGGATTTTTTTTTTTTTTTAGCTTGAGACATGATTGACATAAATTTTGTGTGAATTTAAGGTGTACAACATGTTGTTTTGATACAAGTATATATTGCGTTATGGTTACCACTGTGGTGTTTGTTAGCTAGCGCTTCTATCATGTCAGATAATAATAATAATAATAATAATAATGATAATAGTTATTATTATTATTATTTGTAGTGGGAACAATTGCGATCTAGTCCCTTAGAAACTTGAAGCTTATAATACAGTACTGTCTAAAATCACTAATTCTGTGCCGTAGATCAGCGGGAGTTTTTATCTACTGCTTGCAAATTTGTACCTTTTGATGTTATCTCCTCCATTCCCTCCAGAAGTTGGTTTTGGTGGCCTGCAAAGATGATACGAGGTTTGTCTTGGAATCTCTGCTTTAAGAAGTGTTATTTCAATTTGGAGAAATGTTACCTTCTCCGTTTTCCCAAGACTTGTACTTTGTATGGTTCCAGTCATTCCTCATGAGATTGAAATCCTGCTATTTGGTAATCTCTCGAATTTTCTGAATTCAATGAAGAAGGAGGGGAGACATACCAAAGGCCTTTGGGCTGACAGATAGCTGTAATAAACAGGAAAGGCTTCTAAAATACACTTCAGAAAACAGCCCAGGGATTGGGAATTGCCATGGTTACTACTTGGTTTTGAGACTTTAAATCTAGCTTAGGATAACTCTAGAACACACTCTCTCTGCCCAGGTGGTGTGACCACAGAATACCCTGCTGTCCTCTGTTAGTTGGGTTCCTTGGTTGGGGGTAGCTCATTTTATGTTTAGTGCATTGTGTTTATTTTCCTGAGGGATTCAGAGAAATGCCTTTGCCCAGAATTTTGAACTCTGTTTACAGGGAAAACAAGCAACTCAGATGCAGGATTCTGTATGTACAACGAGGCCCAGGTGTCGGAAACACTTATACAACCTATAAAACTCCCTGATGAGGTTTCCTTCCCCTGGCTTGGTGGGTAGTTCAGCTCATGTTTACGCAATTGAGAAAACAAATCAGTGGTTAACAGGAGTGCTGCTGGGCTGACACATTAACTTCCACTTTATATCCAGGCGACGTTGATGAGCGCAGGTTACCCCAGTGGGGACGCTGCCCCTCGTGGGAAGGTGCAGTGTCCCCCTCCTTCTGGGATGGCAAAAATAGATCTATCAGTGTCAACCCAAGTCGACAAAAGATGCAGTGGCTTGTGCATGTGGATGGATGACACATGACACGCACAGATGGTTGGATGCAGACTTATGTGTAAGCAGTGAAGCTCTTGGCTTTGCCCTAGCCATGTGTATTATTTCCTAGGGTGGCTGTAACAAATAACACACACTTCAGGGCTTACAACCACAGAAATGCATTTTCTCATAGTACAGGGGCCAGAAGTCCAAAGTCAAGGTGGCGGCCAGGTTGATCTTCCTGGAGACTCTGAGAAAGAAGTCATCCCATGCCTCTGTCCTCCTACTTCCCTTCTGGTGGTTTTTTGGCTGTCTTGGGCATTCCTTGGCTTCTGGATCTCTGCCTTCATGTGACTGTCTTCCCTTGGCATCTGTGTCCAAGTTTCCCTCCTCTTACTGACACCAGTCATTGGATTAAGGCTCACCCTAATCCATTATGACCTCGTCTTGCATTGATGACACCTACAAAGATTCTATTTACAAATCAGATTACATTCACTGGTACCCAGGGTTAGGGCTTCCACATCTTTTTGAGGGAGACGGTTGAACCCATAACATCGTGTTTATTTTAGGAAGCCAGGGAAAAGAGGGCTCATGTTCCTTTGCCTTGTGACAAAGCATAAAGTGGAGTAGCCTGGAGGGGTAGTGGTTGAGGCAAGGAAGAAGACACTGGGTGGTGTTAGGAGAAACTTGCGAAAGAAGGTAAGTATCTGCGGAAGGCTGGCTCACGATTGGGCTGTTGCTCAACAAATATGATTTACTTTTCACCATGAGCTGTATACTATGATGATGTATTGGCAAACAAATGGGTGTGAGCCCTGGTCTGGAGTGGGACAGGAGAAGAGAGACTGCTTTTATGTGGAACAAGGAGTCTGTTTTGCAGATTGCCTCTGGGCCACTTTCCCTGTAGGTTCTCGTTGAGACCTAGAAGCAGTGAGCTAAGAGTGAAATGAGCAACAACCGATGCACACCCTCACAGTGTGTGAAATATTCGGGGCAAAGGACAATTGTTTTCTAGGACACAAACGGCCAGGCAAGTATGACACACTTTGGTTTAGACCAACGCATAATTGGAGCAGATTCTGAGACCAGCCTCTATGATGGTGAGACTCTAGTCAAGCAACATTGGTGCCTGCAGGAATCAGCACTGTATTAGTTTCCACAGACAGTGGCTTACATGTAGCAAAGTAAATTTATTATCTTAAAATTTCCACAGTCAGATGTGTGAAATGGATCGTATAGGGTTAAAATCAAGGTGTTGGCACAACTGTGTTTCTTTCAGATGCGCTAGGAGAGAATTCATTCCTTGTCTTTTCCAGCTTCTGGATTTTGCCTGTGTTCCCTGGCTTGAGTCTGCATCACTAGGACTCTGACTCTCTTGCCTCCCTCCTTTTCCCTACCAGGACCCTTGTCATTGCATTGGGCCCATCTGAATAATCCAGGAGAGTCTTTCCATCTCAACACTCTTAACTTAATCACGTCTACAAAATCCTGCTTTCCGTGTAAGGTAACATATTCATAGGTTTGGGCATTAGAATGTAGACGTCTTTGGGGAACGATTATTCCACCAACCACAAGCATGCTCAGTCATCGTTGTCAGAACCTAGACCTCAGAGGAACCAGCAGGACAAGTGGCCATTGAGCTGCCATTTGGTCAGAGAAGGCTCTGAACATTGGTCCTATATATCTCAGAAGCACCTCTGCCTTCAGATAAAGCTTTGTTTCCAAGTAGACATGTGTGCCCGTGTGTAAGTGTCTGAAAGTGAGGAAAGATGATGTTTTTATCTTCTCCCAACATTAATATTCAACTCCAAAGTAAGGGCAGTAGCCATGTTTGTTTTTCTGCATAGAGAAACTATACCCTGCTCAAGTCCAGTTCTGCCAACTTGTTCTGATATGTATATAAAATATAGGAGCATACTGTGCATGTAATATACTTAACCAAGTATATAAAAATTTTTTATTCACATATGCATTATATGTTCGTAGTCTCTATTGTTATATGTAATCTGTATCATGGATATATTTTTGATTGCCCTAACGTATAATATGAATATGATTACATTCATGATAATGTGAATAAACAGACTTGGACTATATTAAGTGGTAATTTATAAACAGACATGAAATATATTAAATATGTATATATAAGGTTATAAATATACTTTTTCTATGATCATTTTTTATTTTATGGATAGTCCCTTCCATGGTCAATCAAGTTGGATAGAACAATACATAAAAAACATAACAGACTTTATAGCAGACTACGGAGCAAAAGTACAAGTTCAGGGAAGAGAACCAGCATGCATGGGGAGACTTTTTCTATTTTACTGCTTAATCCTCTCCTCAACTGCATTAGATGATTAAGTCGTACTTATACCCATTTTAGAGATGAAAAACTTGAGACTAAGACGCCAACGACTTTTCAAAGATTCCACAGCCACCTGTGTCAGAATGGAGCTGAATTCAACATCTTCTGATGAATCCAACTGCATCACTGACAGCCAGTGTGAGCTTGGCACATTTGTGCAGCCGTACATGGAGGTCATGATTATAACAGCTCATCCGCAGAGAGAGGTAAGGATCAAGGTCATGAAAAGAAGATAATGCATGCAAGATTCTCTTTGTTGGAGAGCATGACATTGAGTGAGTATAATGGCATATGTTAAATTAAGTGGTACTCACTCTTCCCTCTGGAGGAGTTCAGCAAAGGATAATGTCTTAGTATCTCTGAGGAAATTGTTACCAATGTAAAATATTCTACTTTGGTTAATCTAATTTAATTCTTACACATTTCTGATGAAGTTATTGATTTCATTATATAGTGGTTGAAAAAACAAAGGACATTTTTTTCCCCCAGCAAGGATAAATAGTCTTCTCTTATGGTGCTTGACTTCAAAGTTAGAATGTCTTTGAAAGCCATTTTTTGTTTGTTTGTTTGTTTGTTTCTGTGTTTCAGAGTCTTTTATGGTTGCCTCATTCTCTGTTTGAAACTAATTTTTTCCCCCTTCTCTTCCCCCATGGTCTTCTGTGAAGTTTCTCAAATTCCACATATGAATGAAAATGTATGATATCTGTCTTTCTCTGACTTATTTCACTTAGCATAATACCCTCCAGTTCTATCCACGTTGTTGCAAATGGCAGGATTTCACTCTTCCTCATTGCCAAGTAGTATTCCCTTGTATATAAAAACCGCATCTTCTTTATCCATTCATCAGTTGATGGACATTTAGGCTCTTTCCATAATTTGGCTGTTGTTGAAAGTGCTGCTATAAATGTTGGGGTACAAGTGCCCCTATGCATCAGCACTCCTGTATCCCTTGGGTAGATTCTTAGCAGTGCTATTGCTGGGTCGTAGGGTAGATCTATTTTTAATTTTTTGAGGAACCTCCACACTGTTTTCCAGAGTGGCTGCACCAGTTTTCATCCCCACCAACTGTGCCATTTCTCCACATCCTCACCAATATCTGTTGTTTCCCGAGTTGTTAATTTTAGCCACTCTGACTGGTGTGAGGGGGTATCTCAATGTGGTTTTGGTTTGTATTTCTCTGATGATGAATGATATTGAGCATCTTTTCATGTATTTGTGGGTCATCTGGATGTCTTCTTTGGAAAAGGGTCTATTCATGTCTTCTGCCCATTTCTTCACTGGATTATTTGGGTTTACTTTTTTGGGGGGGAGAACAAACTGAGGGTTGATGGTGGGGGGCAGTAGAGAGGGGAAAATGGGTGATGGGGATTGAGAAGGGCATTTGCTGGGATGAGCACTGGGTGTTGTATGTAAGCGATGAATCATGGGAATATACCCCCAAAGCCAAGAGCACACTGTATGTAACGTAAGTTAACTAACTTAACAATAAATTATATTTTAAAAATAAAAATAAAATAAATAAATAAACAAATAAATAAATAAATAAAAGCGTTTTTATGGACTCCTTGCCATTTATTCTCAACAATGTGTATGCCCTCAGTGGTAAAAAGATGTAGGGGTGCCTAGTAACACTTTGGAGTATGTAACTATTATTTAAATAGGGCAATGGTAAAAAGGAGACAGACCAGTGTTCAGAAGATTGTAAAATAAACTAATAGTTATTTACATAAATCCTTATCAAATTGACCTCCTTACACTCAGCCATCTATATTTTCTTTCTCCTTTTGCAAGTGCAGTCTGACTTTTCAATATTCTGACAGTAGATGCAAGGAAAGCAGGACGTATTGAAAACAGGAGAAAGTTCTCTCAAGGCCTCAGGGCAAGCTCTGAGTTCTCTAGATGGATTTGGTTTACATTCCTTGCTGACACCTCTGTGCATATCAAAACCTCTTGCAAGACACCGTCCACAGTCCTTTTAGGTGCGTGGTTTAGTGATGAATGTGTACTATCTCTATGCTTCCTTGTGCACACGTAGGACAGACAAACCCAGATCTCTGACCTCTTAAATAGTATATACAACTTGGCAGTTTTTGAACACTTGTCAACTTTTACTTGAGAAAAAAAAAGTGCGTTTTTAATTAATACCTTCCAAGAATCTGCCTACCACAAGCATGCCGGGTATATTTTTTTTCTGGTCTGTAATATAGATCCTTTTGTCACTTCTCCATACAGGTGACTTTGTAACACCTACCCATGCTATCAAAGTTTACTCTGATGTGACATCCCTCAGGAAGACAGCCCAGATTACCTTTTCTCCCAGACTGAGTTGGATATATTTTATTTTTTACAGGGAACTCTGAGCTTAGCTAAAAAAAAAAAAAAAAAAAAAAAAAAAAAAAAAAAAAAAATAGAGCAAATTGAGAGAAGCAATTTTACATTTAAGAATCTCTCATGCCAATAGAATTGGAGATTTTTGGTGAATCTGAATCTGAATCAAGAAGATGCTTAATTTTTAAAAATAGGTAAATATCAGTAAATAAATGGGGAGCCGACAGCCTAAATGGAACATTGTCACAAGCCACATGAATGTTACACTGGGGAAAGTCCTATAGCTGCCCTCAAACCATTGGGTAACATCCTTTTAGCGTGTATGGCACTAATTCTGCACACTAGTATTTCTGGGTTTCTTCTGGGCACACGGTCAGATTTTAATTCCTCCTCACATTCCAGCTTAGGCATGATCAAGTCATTCATTGAGGTCAATAAAACATGTGTGTCTTCTGCGGTCAGAAGAACTTAGGATCTGGGATACAACTCTCCATATTCACCTTTTCTGTGCTATGGAGCAAGTTGATCTTCCAAATAGTGAGACTGTTCAAGCCTGAATTTGGACTAAGTCAGAAATGGCGTAGGATCCCATCCCTGCCAACCCACAATGGCTTGTGAACAGGAAGCAACTATTTTGCTTCTTCAAGCCACCGAAATTTGGAGTTATTTATCAGGGCAGCATAACCTACAACTTTCTGAATAATATAATACATGTATTTTAAGAAAATTGCATTTGACTGTAATTTGGTTTAAACTGATGGTTATTCTTATTCACAATGTATGCTCGAAGGTATTTGAGATAATTTTGCTTCTTGGTCATTTATCAGGATACATTTTCCACCCTCACCTGTGAACAAATACAAGTGGGGGGCTATCTTGAGGTATGCATACCATAACAACACAAAGGTTCATTTCATCTCCTTGGGAATCTTTGTAAGAGATGGAATATCTCTATATCTTATACCGAGATAGTTTTGTTTGTTTTGTGGTTTGTGATATTTCTTTTAAGGACATTAGAAGCCCAAATATCAGTGCTCTAAATAAAGAGGGAGTAACTTCATTTGTTCATCATCATTTGTTATCTTGGGAATAAATCAGGGGGTGGGGAATGGTTAGAGCGAGTTAGAAGAAGTGACCAGATGTTGTACATTGTGTTTACCTGTGGATAATGAACCTGTTTCTTGTTTCTGTTTTCATTTAAAACTTCCTGACGTCTGGGGAATAGAAATCCTGCTTAAATCATTAACATTGTCTAAGAGGAAAAAAAAAAAAATCTCACCAACCAGGGTTCTGAGGAAACCATAAAAGCTGATATGTGGGTATCATTTAATGTTATCTAGAGCAAAAATACAAGTATTCTGTAGAGAGTGCTTCTGAAATGCATTGTAGAGTTCTGAGTTTTCACCCAGTGACCCACTGAAAATAATGTGATATATAGTATTTAAGCTTACCTCTCCCAAACAATGGTTTTCCCCTCTGACTTTTCTTCTGCTAAAGGAGGGGCATGAAGGAGGGGTCTTGTAGGGATGGAGGAGATGAAGATCAGTTAATATTTTCAGCAAAACAATACAATCTACTCCACATACCAATTTAGCGGCCAAACTGCCCCTCAAGCTTGGAGTTGAGACTCCCTCACATAGTGCTTATTTTCCTGCACGTTCACTGACAAGTAACCCATCAGATAATTGACAGGCTTAGAAAACACAGCAATAGCTGCAAAGCTGAGAATATCGCTTTGCCTGTTCTGCATTGAGATTTCTTATTTATTCCCCACTTCCCTATGTAGAAATTGAATTTCAACAAGAAGATCATTATTATCCTTGAACAAATAATACGATGTCAAACATTATGTAGACCCTTAAGTTTATGTCCATCCATTTGTTAGATGTTTGCCATTCTTCCTTTCCCAGATACACCCAGGAGAAGCATTTACCTTAAAATTTCCCTGATTCCCATAGTAATGAATTCACACTAGTTTACTCAAACTGGGTATTATAGTCAATCTCACCTTCCGTCACTTAAACCTGTTCCCTCAGTGGAAACAGAATAACTTTCAGGATGTCTCAGTCATTCCCACTTCTCACCCATGCCAACAATGTACTATTTACATAAGCCTGCTATTGACTTAGGACTTAGCCTTCTTTATCCAGTTTGGACATGACAAAATCCTTAAGAGAAAACCGAGAGATATTTTCCCAGACTTTGAATCATTATTCTTTTTCTCTATGGGCAACTTGCCAAATCTTAGCTCTGGGTCTGGCCCTAAATATCTGAAGGTATTTTCAGCCTCATCCCCCTGTGATCTCTCTCCTGGATTTACCCCCGCTTTCTAAATGTAACTTGAAAGTTACCGAGAGAGAGAGAGAGAGAGAGAGAGAGAGAGAGAGAGAGAGAAATGAATATTATACATTCTACTCATCCTTGTGTTTTGGGCTCTTCAATATGCGCAACTTACAATCAGGTCTTTTTTTTCTTGTCTCTTGGCCAAGATTTGAAATACCTTTGAAACGCATGACTTTTTAAAATTCCCATTATGAATCAGTCTTTCTACTTACCTGACCTGTTATTCCTGGAGCGGCTTGTTGAGGTCTTTCAATGTACAAAGTTGAATCCATCGTTGCACATATCACTTTTCCAGGGTCAAAGAGGAAAGGAAACTTTCCTGTGGAAACATGGAATCAGCCTTGGGCAAGAATATAAAGATGATGAAGGCTTCTTGGTGCCTGAGCTGAAATTGATGACCCGTTGCATCCTGGAGGTCCTTCTTTGCATTCATTTATGAATCTTTTCTTTGCCCGCTGACTGTGAGGAGGCTATCCACCATAGTAGTTAGGGAATAATCTCTGAATCCAGACGACCTAGGTGTACACTTCTTGCT